AACTACTGCGGATACTATGTTTGCAAGTTCATCATGGCATACTCAAAAAGAACTCCTGAAGAGAACCTCAAAGTACGTTATATAAATATATTCATATATTCATAATTTCTTTTATTGCTCATATATATAAGTAATCATGTGACCAACGCATATATATATATATATATATATTAATACTTTTTCTTTAACTTTTATTGAAGACTCTATGGTTGAAGAAAAAAGTCATACGACGTGACCAACTGAAAACAATTCAAGAGATCATAGTAGGATTTCTTAATGACCAGGTCCTAAACCCCGCCGGCGAGTTCTACAATGACGTGAATGAAACATGAAAGCCAAACCAGATGGAGTGAATTTGTTATCCCAAGGATATGATAGAATATACAATGCAAGCTTTATTTGTAATATATATATACATATTATATGTACATAAAATAACGTATAAACTTTAGTTTCATATATATATATATATATATATATATATATATATATATATATACACACACGTTAGTTTCATACTTTAGTTTGTATAAAATGTTCGAACATTATAAACGTGTAGAATACGTATATTATTAGCAGCGTAGAATGCGTATATTCGAAAACCAAAATGAATCATCAATTGAAAATAGAAAAAAAAAAGATCTTTAGTCCCGGTTGGTAATACCAACCGGGACTAAAGGGCCGGCCCACATAGCCAGGCCAGGAGGCCTCTTTAGCCCCGGTTGGTATTACCAACCGGGACTAAAGGTGGACCTTACCTTTAGTCCCGGGCGCGAAACCGGGACTAAATGAGGGGCCCTTTAGTCCCGGATTCGTGCTCCCGGTTCCAAAACCAGGACTGAAAGGGTTTGAGAACCAGGAGTACAACTAGTTTCTCTACTAGTGCGTCATGTCCCGTCTGCCGCCACCATCACCGCCCGCCGCAGCGCCAGGGCAGGGATGCGGCGCGGGGAAGGCACCTTGGTTTGATATGCGTTGATGCCAGGGCGGGGATGCAGCGCGTGGATACCGCCATTCCTACAAGAAATGACCGGAGTCAATATGCTTTGATCGGAGATTGTGAGAAAGGACTCTAGGCTCGGGTGGGAAGGGGATGGGCTTCGTTCGGGCCGTCTTTGATCCAAACCCATAACGAAATTAATTATAATAATTAAATTAATCAGTAGGATGCTTTAAGATCCGTGCAGATTTTTTGAAGAGGACCACCGGAGCAAAACTCTATAGTCCATAGCTACATCTGGTCAAAAAAAGCACGTCGTTTTGACAAGATTTAGTCAAAATTTCAAAACTACAAAGCATAACTTTTAAATTGCTTAGTTTGAAAACCAGTAATAATAAGTTATATTTGTAGAATTGTATTGAAAAATACTTGCAAAAAGTTGTAAACTCAAAGGACTTCATGAATGTATCTAGAAGAAATTATTGACTGAAAAGGTCACGCAAAGTCAAAAAACTGTTATCAACAACGCGGACCAGGCCAGGCGGCTCTTTATGACTTTATATATGCCACTCCTCTTTCCAAGACCCGGACCCGAACAGAGCAAGCATCCCATGCAAAGGCGCTTTTCAAGTATATGAATTGAAGTTTCTCCCGCCGCATATATTCTGACTCCACTCACTCGCTCACCAATCTGCCGTCTGCTCATCATCAAACCCTGCGTACACACCCCAAAACAAGGACCACGCGCGCTTTACGTTTCTTGGTAGATGAGATGCTCCTTCTGTCCGTCTGTCGCTCACTCACTCCCATAGTCCCATAGTACCATCCCATGGACGCAACAATCGCAATGCATTGCATTTCATATCTAGATCCTAGTCCACAACCACAAAGAACCATTCAGGAAGGAGCCGAGTAGGAGACCGGTACACCATTGTTATTCGATTCTCACTAGCTCGCTCGCCAGTTAGCCTTTATCGCGCTCCAACCCACCCAGCAACCTAGCTAGCTTTCCAAGACTGTCGTCGTCCTTGCTTAAAAGATCACTGGTTTTGCATCTGGCTCGTTGTTAGTGAGATTTAGAGGATCAGCTAGCTACATACCATGGACATGGAGAGGTGCACTACCGGAAATAGTAGCTTTGCCGAGTGCCACAGCCCAAAAAACACTCGACAAATGATTTGCCGAGTGTAACACTCGGCAAACAGCACACGGCATCTACAGTGCCGGTAAACAGTAGCTTTGCCGAGTGTTTTCTATCGGGCACTCAACAAAGACTTTGCCGAGAGCTGAAACCGACGCTCGGCGAAAAAAGTAACGTGACGGAGTAGAAACTGTCATGGCGCGTTTGCCGAGTGTCAAATATCAGACACTCGGCAAATCTTGCTTTTTTGCCATGTGTCAAAGTGTGGGCACTCGGCAAAACTTGCTTTTTTGTCGTGTGTCAAAGTGGGGGCACTCGGCAAAGCTTGCTTTTTTGTCATGTGTCAAAATGTGGGCACTCGGCAAAGCTTGCGTTTTTGCCGTGTGTCAAACTGTGGGCACTTGGCAAATCCCGTCCCAGAATCCACAGAATTTGGCTTCTTTGCCGAGTGTCATAGCGCAGACGCTCGGCAAAGATGCTATTTTAGTTTCAGAATGCACAGAACTTTGCCACGTGTCCACTTTACCAAGTGTTTTAAACCTGACACTCGGCAAAAGGCCTACACTCGGCAAAGCTGCCACAAATAATCAGTTTATTAGGTTCGGTCACAGCCACGTACCACATTTAAATAAACATCACATCCATCACAAATAGTTCACAGTAGGCATCACAGGCAGTTCATATAGATATATCGACAACACATAAATCCAAATAAACTTCAGAGTCACAAGTAGGTTCATTCACAACCAAAAGTAGTCACAAGTAATCCACAAATGCAAATACAAATAAAATCACAAGTAGTCACTTAGGCCACGAGTTCCACTACGATAGGGCTGGGTCATGAGGCTCATTCGATGCCGCCGATTGATGCTGCACAAAGGAGAAGAGATTGTATGTGTGAGACAGGATTAAACAACACATATGGTGGCCTAACTAGTATAACCCTTGCAACTATCAGCAATATCTTCTCAATTGCATTGTACTTTAGTATGATTGCTTAAGTACTATTTGGTAACAAACATATATCATTAGTCACTAAGTTTCTAGTGTCTTGGCATTTTTGTAAGATTGATTCTGCATAAACTAGATTATAAGGTTGTAAAGCGACTCATGGTGCCTGAAACAGTATTTGGAGCAGGTGGAGGAGGGACTGGAAATGGCGGTGGAGGTTGACCGATTGCAGCATAAACACCCCTCATATATTCAAACATCTGCAGCTCCATCCTCTACCGCTCTGCCTCCATCTTCGCCTCTAGCTCCTCCTGGCGTCTCGTTTCTTGTTCTAGCTGAGCCTACAATATTTCATCCCAATGTTACAATGCAATGTAAAAGTATGTAAAAATCAATGAACGATGAATAAAACAAAAATAGCCTGGAGTGCGTTCATCTAAAACCGTTTAGAGTCCGGCCGTGGGCGTATCGCTAGACTGGAACCCGTGCTCCGTGCTCGAATCTGGGAGAGAGTGAGAGTACTGGCCATATCGATGGTGTCGTCGCCAATCTAGAACCGGACATGCTTCTTGCCTCCTCTCGCCCTCATGATCACTTCTCCATCAAGATCATGGGCGCTCGGATCGTACTCTGGGCCACGGACCTGCCTTGCCATCGATGTGTATCCTTCGAGACGGCTGTGGACGGACTCGTTGCTGTATGCCAAGGGCGGATCCTTCGGGTTGTAGGCGACGTCGGACGTCGCCTTCCCCTTGTGGGCCAAAGCATATGCCAGCAACTGGGAGCAAGGCTGGCCACCATGTGACGCCGACTGTAAAAAAAACAATATGATTAGAAATTATGCAAAGTTGAGCGTTAGAATAAAGAAATGAATTCGCGTACCCATCTAGCCGCGTATTCTGAGAGGTTGAGGTTGCCTTGATGGTCTGGTGCACCCGGCATCAGCAAACGCCGCTCTCTGCAAGCGTTGTGATTCTCCTGCCACGTAGGGTCGCACCACCTGTCCACGATCCGGACCCAGCACTACAGATCGTAGGCGCACCTACGTCATCAAGTATATGACATATAAGAAGATGAAATTAAGTGTAATTAATCTCAGAAAAAATAAATATTAATGTTCTATATTTACCTTCAGGTATTGTTCCGAGGTCAGGCTCATGGTTCTTGCCGCCCTTTTAGGGATCATCTCTCTAAGAAATTCCGCGTGGTATTGGATCATGGTCTGGATACGCGCCTCGTAGTGCATGTCCTTGACGAGTTTCTTGGCGGCTTTGTCAGCCACAGCATCCGCCTTGGCCTCGTATCCCTCCTCGCATCTAAAGAAATCCTGCATATAGACGCGATGTATCCAGTCATTATTTCAAGAATGTCCAATCAATGCGATGTATTGAGCAATGTAGTGCGAGAAAGACTTACCCAAAGCTCGGCCTTGACACGATGCGCCTTGTCGGCGAAACACCTGCATCCCAATCAGTGGTGTCGGGGACGGCGGCATAGTGGGCCCACGTGTAGGCCGACTCGACAGTTCCGCCGAACTGCACCAGGCCAGAGAACTTTTCCTTGATCAAAAGACCAACGATGCCGTTCACATGGCGTGCGTGATCACCCCCACCGACCATCCTCCAACCCCTGTCCAAGTGATTAAGATAAATTATTAGTTTCTATTATAATTTTGAACATATCAAACGAAAAATTAGTAATAACATATAAAATTACTTACTTGTCTCCATCGGGTCGAATCAGCGGGTGTCTCTCAAGAGGTATCGGTCGCCTCGGGAGGGTGGAGGGACCTCGCAACCACACACGCGACGAAGTAGAGGAAAAGGTACCTCTATCTCCTCCTCCATCCCTGCCTCCTCCTCCACCCCTGCCTCGGGAGGGTGGAGGTGTTGATGTCTGATTAGAAGCTGTAGTAGTCCGTCCTTGACTTCAGAGTTCAGACAGGTGCACCTAGGCATGTATCCACAGATGGTGTACCATGCAGATGTGCGGGCGAGGGAGAAGGAGTTGGCGGTGGCGGAGAGGGGGATGGGATGCTCTTGCGCTCCTCCCTTGGGCAGGATGATATCGAGATTTATCAGGAAGTGCAACGGTACGTCCATATTTATACACTCTTTTTGAGTTAGACAGTAGAGCTATATGAAAACATGCATCTTCGTGCAAATTTCGTAGCTAGAAACTTGTTCGGGGGACGACTGCACTTTTGTTTTGGAGGAATCATCTCAGGAACTACACACTCAACAAGAAAGAACAAATACAGCACACTAGAAGATTTGCTAGCTCTTGGTTTGCCTTATTACACGTAGTCCTTCAACTTCACGCATCATATTCCTGGTCATCGTTTGGATCATCATATTCGATTTTGCACGTACCATTTTTGCTTTTGTCTGTTTCTTTCTTCTTTCTTTTTTTTCTGGGAAAACACACGTTCTGCTTACATGATTAATTCTTTACGTTTACATCTTCCATTGCCCAACAAGTAAGTTGCAATAACCGTACCTTCAAGTTCAAGTTCATCATATCTTTACCCGCTGATGTGTCTCCTAGGAAGAGAAGGGCGCGTGAGGTACGACGAGAGGATGGGAATGGACTATGCCATGGCGTACGCTCCCGCGCAGACATGCTACGTGCGCCCAACAGCTGCGCGCACCGTCACCTTGGCAACCACCACCAGCCATCACACCACCAACGCCGCTCGCGCCGACGCCGACCATCCGGATCGTCCACATCCACCGCGAGCGCAGGCAACAACGACGACCCTGCCGGGCACGCCGTTTGCACCGGCGGGCGCCCCTGCCCAACGCAAGCCCAAGAAGAAGAAGAAGAAGAAGCACGTCCGGTTCACGCCTTCGGGGCCGGTGCCCGCGGGTGCGGGCGCCACGGCGGCACTGGCAAGCGGCGACAGTGCAGGCAGCGCCTACCACCACGGCCCGCCGGCGGCCGATCCGTCGTCGTACTCCCCGGCGCCAGCGGCACACGGCGGCTACGCGTACGGGTACGGCCGGTACGCGCCGTCGCCGCTGCCGCGGTGGGAGATGCTGGGCACGCCGAGGCGGCACGAGTACTTCTCCAGCGAGTACCGGTGGTACTACCCGACGCCGGTGCGCGAGGGCATCTACAGCATCGCCACCGACGCCAACGGCCGCCTCACCACCATCTTCAGCGAGGAGAACCCCAACGCCTGCACCATCGTCTGAAGTCTCAACATTATTAATTATTCCGTACGTGCTCACTTGTCAGATCGATCATCATCAGAGAATAAAATAATCTCTTTTTGTAATTTACTATTTCTTTGGACGAATTGAAAGTCGTAGTTAATTAGGTGAAGGAATATGGTTCTTGTAGACTCGTGTAAATATGTAAGCCACTAAAGTTGGCGAAATGGATTAGTTCGAATGTCTGATGCTTCGGCTTTACCTATATCATCTTAATTTGACCCCGTGCGTGTTGCCTTTTCGCGAAAGTTGGTGGGAAAACACCAAACACAGGGACTCAAAAGCCATTTTCGTGTTCGGTTTCACTCACTCCATTTCAAATTATATCGTTTTGCTTAAGTCAAACCTCTTTTAACTTTGACATTTTTTTAAATACACCAACCTCTAAGAACATATCAAATCAGTTTTATTCAATTCTCCATAAAATACAATTTGACAAAGCATTTATTTTTACATATAGATATTCATAGATTTTTTTGAAAAACTTGGTCAAAATTTAGAAAAGTATGACTTAGAATAAAGTCAAAGCAGAGTACCGTTTGTTGATCCTTTGTTTGCTTGATTCAGAAAGTGAGGCTCCAATATTTCAGCACACTCGAGATATGGCAAGGTTTTACCCTTCCCCTTCCTCCCTTGATCTTGTTTCGTCATGTGGCAGCAGGCAAGGTGTGGCAGCACTGTTCGATATGGTGTCAAGAGGTTCAAGCCTCTGTCCACGTGCTATTTGTTACTATCCTTATAGGTTCTGAGGAAAATAGACATGTTTTTGTGACAACTAGGAGACATTCTGAAATCTTTTAATAATGTTGTGCTTGATCATCTTTTACATTGTCATGGATCACATATCTGAAATGAGAGCTAATAGAGTACTCAGATGTCTTACACTTAGTTGTAACAATGACTTGAGTTGGCTATGGGGATCTTGTCCCCAATAGTGACATAACAAATTGCGTGTGCTTGCGTCAGCATTGCGAATGTTGGTATCTTCATTAGCAAGGTGAATCCAAAATGTTAAGCGGCATTGATATGAACGAGATAAAAATACAAGTTATACACGGTAGCTCTACTTCTAGTGATGGATGTCATTGTTGGGACTATGTTTCTGTGGAATGGAAAAGCTGAGAAACTGAGCCTTGTTGATTCCGTCTACTGTGTATTTTATGGGGATAAAAGCTTTCTGACTAAATTACATACATGGGGATAAAAGCTTCCAGACGCCATGTGGCTCTGCCCGCCTATTAGGCTCCAGGGCCTGACAAATTCCAGGGGATATTTTTGGTGTTGGTTAGGGTTGGAGCCCCACCCGAGCCAAGGCCGGAGCGCATGTGGTGGCGCTTGCTCGACAGTCGTCCCCAGGGTCGGGAGCCTTCCCGGCCTAGCCGAGCCCCCGGGTATGGGTGATTCGAATGGGGACTTAGTGTCTTGGTTCGCTTTCGGGGTGCTGAGGCCCCCTCCAAAATGGGCCCTCTGAGGCCCAGTGAGGCATCCTTCAATGTGACAGAGGGTGGCGCGCCGATGGATGTAGCCCCCAATCCCCAGGTTGATTAAGAGAATCAAGCAGGGGTTAACCGGACTGCCATGACGCTAACCGGTAACTTAATCGACCCTTATATTTGATACTCAACCAGAACTATCCAAGTTTGTGCTTCACAAGAGTGGAGTTCCCACACCCAATAAGATGACGCTTGATGAAGGGGATGATCTAGATATGAGGATGATGATGGTGCTTGACGAATAGCAGGAGAGAGTGTCCAAAGATCTTCCTTGAGGGTTGATCGCTAGGATTAAACTTCTTGGTGGTTTCCAAGGCTTCCTTGAGGTTTGTGGGCCCTCAAGGATATTCATGTGAGTTCAACATCATTAGGACAAAATTAAATATGGGTATTGTATCTGTACAGCTCCTATCGTGAATACCCTTCAAAAGGAGCCAACACTAATAAAACAAGTTTATTTTGGATCATTAGGACTGATTATTTTATTTAGAAAATTTCTTAAACACTTAACCATGCAACAACGTGAAAAAGGTAGTACTAGCTAAGTATAGTGACATGAAATCTAAAAGCTGCATTAGTAAAAAAATTTGTTGTGATATGTTAGGGTGGCAATGTCCCCTACCAGCCTCTGTGGCTCTGCCACTGACCTAGGCTTAGGCCATGAAGTGAAGTAGGGAGTAAGCATTTAAACAAGCAGCTCCAAAACTAAACTTTAATATCAAAGTCAGGCCACATGTTAGCAATGTTCATAAGTCTCACAGTTTTGACAAATGTTAGCAATGTTCATAAGTCTCACAGTTTTGACAAGCTTTCTTCTTTCACTTTCTCGAAACAAAAGACCTAGATCCTGAGCCGCTTCCGGCCCACGTGAGCAGCCTTTGTCGTTATACACAGCCCAAGTCACTGCTTTGAAAGAGAGAATTGAAATTTACCAGAAACATCCATTTCTTTCTATTCAAATAAACACTATTGATTCATTTCAAGATGATGAGAAGGACATAATTATACTTTCAACAGTAAGATGCAATCCTGATGGGAACATAGGCTTTATGGATTGCCATAAAGAGCTAATGTGGCCTTAATGAGAGCAAAGTATGTTAATCTTTGTTCCTTTTCTGTTGCTATAAAGAACTACTTTTGGATCAATTAGACAAATTCAAAATCCTAGTCCATTTTCATCTCATTTAAATGCCTGCCCTGAAGAAACTAACTTTGGATCCTTGGACATGAACAAACTCTCTTGAAAAGTAATTCCATATGGCATGATTTAGTCCAAGACGCAAAGAACCGTCTTTGTTGGTTTAGTGCTCGTGTTCACGTTACAATTGAGGAAGCAACAGGGCAGCTGCTGATGTTACAATTGAGTAAACAACAGAGGCTGCAACACAGGAAGCAGACGTTATAATTGAGGAAGGAGACGTTAAAATTGAGGCCCTCGAAGATTTGCCCCAACTATCTTAGACTATGGATAGGGTTATAGACTTATAGTGAACTGCAAAGGACCATCTGGAAAGAATGCCCAGGAGTCCTTGAATGAAAGACCAAGTAAATTAAATGGAGGTGCAACTTCCTTATGGGTACATGGACTTCGACCATAGAGGATGCATATATGGTAAAATTTTAGACTTTATCACTAAATCTGTATTTTTTGAGAGGGGGCATATGCACCCATAGATACACATGTACCTTCTCCCCTACGAGCAAGAGGAACTCTACACCAGTATTTATGAAGATACTGGTTTTGCAAGCAACAAATGGATCAATTGGGAAGAAATCAACCATTTTAAAGAGTTAAAAGATGTTAAGAAAAAATTAATGTCTAAAAGACAAGACTAGCATGAAGAGAGATCAAAAAGTTCTTCTCCACATTCTATGTAGATCCCAATGGACCTTCAGGCCGACTAGCATAAATAGGACGATTACCGTCACGAAGAGATTTTGTCAGAAGATTCTAGTTGATCCGTCCATGCATGGCAATGACAAAAGGAATGATAAGCTTAAGGACAGTCTGGATCACACACAAGCTTGCTCAAAAATGCAAATGAATGTAACATATCGGCTGCTGGATAAGACCATCTTCCTTATGAGTGGAGATAGAAATATAGTTTTGGAATGGAGGGAGTACTTCCTTTTGCTAAACTCTATAGATCTGTCCCTCAATTCAATTTTCTTTTGACTTTCATGTTTTTGGACTCTGCCAAACATCTCGAATTTTGCTCAGCCCCCAAAGCCTCCCCGTTCGATTCTTTGCACATGCGGCCCCTCATGGAAGTCACCTAGTCACCCGTGGGTGATCTCATCAAATTAGTCTTATTCAATTTTCCATAAAATATGTTTTGACAAAGCATTTATTTAACTTATAGGTGTTAGTATATTTTAAAAAACTTAGTTACAACTATAGAAGGACTTAGAGCGAAGTCAAAGTAAATTGAGTACTATACCATCTTTTACATCTTAGTCTGCAACAATGAAGTCATCTTTGTGACTCTTAGTCACAAGTTGATGTTTATTGTTGGGTGATTCAGGGCCTCCTCAGTAGGGCAATGTTGGTTTCTCTTTCCAATTCCCCCTCTCAGATGATAGGCTCGTTATTGGTATGTAGACATCTATAGGAGAGATAGCAGAATGAGTATATTATAAATAAACAAGCGATTTTCACAAAGTTTAATTTGTGATTACAGTTCATCAAAATACTCATAGGATAAACTAAATTAATAACTAGCTCTGCCTCTACCACACACTATCCCTCTCAAGGTTACCTCCTCCTTGATTAGCCCCAAAAATAGTTACCCCAGTTTGCAGTCTTGCCTTCAAACACACGGCGATTTCTCTTGTTCCAAATATTTCATGCCGCGACTGTTGCTGTGGATCTTCGATGACTTAGAAAAAGTACTTTTGTGCCATCATTGCTCAACACTTTCACGGTTTGTCCAAATTAACTTGTCCAGACCTCAGAGCCGAAGCTGCAGCACAGACAGAGAGCAATGCCAGTTACCAAGTATGCCGGCATAGGTGGAGCGAGCTAGGTGGACATGTGGTCCATGGACCACTCTAAAATTTAGTTCAAAGTTAAACTATAATAAATAAGCTTTCTAAAATCATGAAAATTGCACATGAGCCACTCTATAATTTGGTTTTACATCTAAGATGGACCACCCCTGCTCTAGATCCAGGCTATGCCACTGTATGCCAGCTTACCCGCAGTCAAGATCTTACCTTGTATAATTAAGCAGCCATGCAAGTAAGTTATACTTCCATTCAGCATGTGCTCGCCAAATCGTAAGGGCGTCGAACGTGTTATAGGATCCTTGAAACTGAATTAATGTTGTCAGTAGATTTTGTTCTGTACCAACCATTTCTTGAAACTGAACTCAAGTTGGAAGCCCATCATTGAACTCCACCTCAAACCGGAAACAAAATTAAATTAAAGCCATGGATGGGAGCTTCACACAGGCAAAAGAAAAGTTTCTGTTTTCTTCTCAAGGAACT